TTACTCATAATTTCCAGAAACAATGAAATCTAATACAGTAACGTTGAATAGTACGCTATAGAACAAAAACAACAACAACAAAAAAAAACGTTCTTTGATATTCTTGAAAACCAAAAAGTATTATATTATTACACAATAAGAAACGTTTTTCTCTCGAAGGAAGACTCATTGTTGTGAATATGTCCGCGTATTTTACCACTATACACAAATAACTTGTTCAGGGCAGACATCCGGCATGGTTTCCGCTATATACCATAATATAACTTAATCAACAACTTGACACACTAACCTCCAAATATGGCCTAAATTAAACGTAAACAGTGACAAGTATTGTGGGTTTTACCCGTGATTATGACAGGAAATTGTGAAACGCAGGAACAAGAACCCTATCTAACGACGAATAAGATTGCGTTATAGTTTTGAATATTTTAGAATCGTTAGCCCTAAATTGACGTAAGAACTACTGTATTTAGATGAAAATACAAGACTCGAAACAAGTCTAGCGTCATAGATAAACCCACTGTTAAGATTACAAAAACAACAAATGTATCACTTACAACTAACAAGTCCAACCATATAGTTTCAGCCGAGATATGTACAGAGCATTCAATAAACGCAGTAATAATCTCTTCAGAACTTCTATGCAAAAGCAATTCTTAATTAATTCTAGTCAAAGTTCTATATTGGCAGGGGCGGCGGTAAGGGGAAGCCTTCTTAGGCTGAAGCTACACCAAAATGTGCCTTAGCCTCCCATATCGCCCCCGCACCCAACGAAAAATTCTTATTTTTAAATCTGGTTCACTTTCTAAATACTACAGTGTGTATCTACAAGATGTATAATACAGCCCTCATAATTTTTGTGTAACCCACCTAAGCCATCTCATCGGGAAGAATTTGGCGTTGCCCCTGTATGGTGGGAATCTTTACTAGGGACCATAATCAACCTTTCACTACCACTTATACAGGGGATTTATTCGTCCAAACATTAACTTTTGCAGTTAATTTTCAAAACAACTGAGAAATCTTAACCCTTTCAGAACAGTTGTGAAGTTAGACAATATATAAAGATATTCAAGGGCGCTCTTTAATACAAATAGGATTCCTACTTAAATAAATATACTGATGCCAAGTTATCACACGGTGTTGTTCTTGACCAAGAATAACTTGGTCTTACATTACAGTTATATATATATATAATAATTCATGTGTAGCATATGTGGATATGTATGTTTGATGTTACACACATGAATTCGTTCATGTGTTTTGCACTCCACACAAGAATAAAATACATGAAAAGCATAACTGTGAGGCAATAAAGAAAGACTTGGTCAGAATGTTGATATGTGTTTTTATGAAGCATAATTTCGATTATTAGTTTTTGCTACACGAAGATAAGATAGGGACACAATTTTTCTACTACTTTTAAGAGAAGAATACTTCTGATTTTTGAAACTTTGATGTTTGCAAGTGTATTTTCAACTGTAAGCACATCTGTGCCAGCAATGAAGATATTTTAATAACTTACGTTGTGCCATAACAGATTATTTTACCATGGATATTTAATAAAGAATTTACAACAACAAAAAGAGTTTCAGCATGACCTGTTGTTGTTGTGTTTTAGCTTAAAACTACACTGTAGATTATCTGTGCTCTGTTCACCGCAACTCCAGATTTTAGCGTTTTAAGTCTGTAAGCTTACCGCTGACCCACTGGGAGGACTTTTTTCTCCAAAACTCTTGCAAAATTGTTTTGACAAGATTCAGATTTTTTCACTGAGTTGATTCGCAGAATTTATTCATAACAACTATTGTGCAACAAGAATTTCAATATAACCAACAAATTAAAATAAAACTCAAAATAAGCTGGGAAGTTTTATCAATATTAGGCTTGTCAAACACATGGATGAGGGCGATTCAAAGTGGGTTTTGTTAGGGTGTGAAATATAGGTGTATAATTTGTTGTTCTTTATCATGAATCACGTGGTTTATAATATGGTTCGCCCAGAAATTTCACAAAAATTCAAACAAAATATACGGGCAAAAAACATCTTAAAAATCACAGTTGAAGTAACACTCAAGACCTTCTACCTCAATGGCTAAAGCTGCTAAAATAGTTGCTTTTCTGATTCTTATAAAAAAATTCAGAATTCATCCATTTGTTATTCGTATTATTCTTGTTTCACAAGCCTACAGAAAAAACGGCTATGAATATTTTATTTAAACCAGGGCAAACCTACTATAAAAAACTCCTGCACAGGTCATAGGACAATTTTTATGTTGATTTTTGAAAGAGAAGAAGAGATTTTCAGTTTTTTTTCATCGCTACTGGCCAAGTTTCTCTTCAAAGCCATTCAAGCACCGAAGCCTACGGCAAAAGTGGCTAAGTGTACTGCGTCAAAATCTATGCACAGCTACCAAATCAACTCCTGCGAAGATTGTAGGGCTATTTTGAAGTTGGTTCTTCAAAGTCTAAGTTTCCGCCCTCTAAAATTTTCTAAGTTCTTCTTCGCTACCAACATAAGCTCTTCAAAGCCATTTAAGGACTTTTATCTAGTCGGAAACATTTCGTTTTATTGGAGTAAATAATGCAACTATTTATAACAGTGCCCCCAGCCTTATTATTATTGATTATAGTTTTACAAGCCGCTACAGAAAAAACGGCTATGAATATTTTACTGAAACCTGGACAGTAGTAATGAATGCAGTACTGAGTATGATATAGGGTAGTTTTAAACTCAATTCAAGTGCCTTCATTTTTTCGCCCTGAAGACTTTTTTAAGTCCTTCACTTTCTGCCATTGAAAAAATCCGGTGTTTTACTAATGCGCATTAATTGGAAAATATTTTTTGTAAGTTATAAGCACTAATTGGGAACTGCCGCGTTGATGATTCATCATTTATCGAATTTCCTGTTGTACTTTGTCTGTACATGGTTTTCTGCGACTATTTCAGTGAGTTTTCTAACGATTACCATAGTAAATTTCTCTACCATTGTGAGTGGTGATTTATTCTACTGATTTTCGTATTTGATGAAATTTGATGAGTATTTTAGTATTATTTTATGATTAGTATTCATATTTTGAATATTTTGCACCAAAACCTGGACAGATGTATTATATGAAACGCAGTGAATGTCCAAGGTTTATCTAAAAAGTTGATTCTTTTTAATTGATAGTTGATTTACATGGCTATAAATATATACACAGCGTGGTCACAAGTAAATAGACACCACCTTTTCAGAAAAAATGAAAATTTTCAGTCATA